GTGCAACCGTTGGACACAGTAAATTAGCAAATCACTATTACAAACAATTAAGTAGTCGGTGTCACCTTCGTGCGGTGAAATTGGCCCCTATGGTCGGTCATCGGTCCTCGCTCCTCGCTTGACGACGGTGTTTGTGGTTGTTTTGGTCGTCAGCTACAGTAAGGCGCTGTTCGGCAGTCCGCCCGCTCCGTGGAAATTGAGAATCTCGGGAGTACTGTTTTGCTAGCTCCGCACTTTTTAACTAGAACTCCGTCAGCTCCGAGAGCGGCCTCGCGGAGCGGAGAGGCTCCGAACAGGCCCTAAGTCGGACGTGTTTGTACCGTACTTGGCATCTTTGGACGTGCATTGCTCCAGAAAGCGAGCCAAAGAATGCATGGATACTACCCGTTTCCCCATCTAAATTCCTCCCGGTCATGTGGCCATGCTGCCCCCTCGCACCTGCACCTCTGGAGTCTGATTTTTTTACATTACGTATTGCGAAACACAGGAGCGTTGCAAAGCCAATCGCGTCCTCGTTTTCTCGTGTGCGTGAGTTCTGCCGGAACAGATCGAAGCGATTAGCATCGCGTATGTGCGTCCCGGGGACCGAATACGCGCGTTAAGGCGCCAACCTTGCTGTGTATTTTATGTTTGATAATATGTGTCTCATTCATATCATAAAAATTATAGTAAAAGTCATGTAGATACTAATCTGACAAAACTAAAAAGACGGCAGAACTAAAAAGTACAATCAAGACTGAATAGTTTTCTGAGCTTGACACCAACGCTTGTTACATGTCTCCGGCACCATCATAGCAGCCATCAAAGAAAAATATGACGGATCACCTTCTCAACCCGAGCACGACGCGGCTCCCTCACTGATATGCAGCTTTATGGGCATGCAAAGTGGCTCATCAAAGGCTAAGACATTGTCATTGAATGAATCAGACTGGGGCAACACCACGGACACGCCTCGAAATTCAGATTTGGCACCTCCTCTCGACAGAGATGTCGAAGAGGAAAACCATACCTGTCAGCTACGAACCACATACCCAACACACGATCCATCATTTTTCAGATGCCACCGATGTAAAGCGCAATTTACATGCGCTCCTGAACTACCTCCCAAGCTCTGCGTCGGCGCTGGAGCAAACATCATCGCAACGGCGGAGCCCGAGGATGCTGCAGCCGTCACGTCACCCTCTCTTGAGATTTCTAAATCCATCCCAAACCATGAAGTCGAACACCTTGTTGGGGAAGGGTCTCAAGCTTCTTTGTTCAGCGCCGTCATCACCGTCATGAAGACAGGAAGATGATCTGGTATCTTGTGTGTGTCCAGAAATGATCGATCCAGTAGGTTGCTTGTACATGCTCGCGGCAGGCCTCAAGGCGGAAGGGCCATGCAGCGCAGGCGCTGCTGCCCCTGGCACATCTCCTTCCGCCATGCGGCGAGTCGGAAAGCAGCATCCCCCATGCAAGATGCATGCAGGTACTTCGCACCACAGCTTAACTCGGAATCTTACACATGTCGTTAGCTTCTTCCGCCAAGGCATTTCTTATAATTCTACTCAGAGGGCTGTGTTTTTGTCATTTCTGTTGCACCAAGGTCTACAAATGTAAAAAAAATGATAAGTGTCACACATGTGGCATGAAGCAACATGATCCAAAAGCCTTTATTATCATCCATTTTGCCACATCAAACATATGACATCATCGGAATCTTTTTTTAGTTTTCGGACTTAAAAATATTTTATCTCTCAAATAAAAAATCTAATTAAAATTTGTTTTCATCATTAAATCCATCTCGACGAGATCTTCAAAATTAGATACCATATTGATATGTTTCGACGACTTTATTTGGACCAAAAGTTGCCAAGATATTACACTAAAGTTGTGATAGTGTTTACAATAAAGTTGTCACGATATGTTTCATCTATTTTTTTCTATATTTAAAGCTACCATTGTATTTAAACTACTTTTCACGACAAATTTTATTAATTAACCATGGCAATTTTTAGTAATTAACCACTGCAAATTTAATTCATGGATCGTGTGAAATTTAGTTTATAGATCATGGCAACTTTAGTTTATAGATCATGACAATTGTAGTATTTTGACCATGGAAATTATTTTTTGTATGAACCATGGCAAATTTTAGTGCATGTATCATGGCAAATTTAAGTAATTCACCATGGCAATTTTAGTTTTTGGTTCATGGCAAATTTTAGTCACATTTTTTAAACATATCATGGCAACTTCAATGTAAACAACATGGCAATTTATGTGCAATAGACATGGCACCTTTTGACCGCCAACAAATATACATATGGATATGGGATCTAGTTTTGAAGTCTTCGTCGCGATGAATTTAATGGTGAAAATGGATTTTCAATCAAAATTTTCAATTAATAGGTAAAATATTATAAAGTTTGAAAAACCCAAAAGATTTCCGCTGACATCATCTTTTTTTCCTGTTTGCATGCATGTGTGAAAAAACAAAAAGACTGATGTGTCATAATGGGTGGCTAGAAGGACGTTCGACCCGACCTCCTTCAGCCCACACGTGTGAGACTTATCAAGGTCCAAAAAAATCCAGGAGTCGGGCACAGGACACACGATACAAAAGGTGTTTCCATTTCGCTACGATTCTCCTCCGTCAGATATTAATCAAACTAGAAGCAAAAGCGCACTTTGCCGCGCGGTTTCTCAAAAGCCATTGTGCCTCAAAGCTTTCTCTTGTTATGTGGGTCATACTCTACATATTGTTCTACCAAAATCAGTAGGTAAATAACATGAGAATTCCAATCCACATTGTATTGATAACTTCATCATCTAAGAAATAATATCATTTTGCTTAGCACATACCATAATTTGTTTCACACAAAATAGAACACGCAATGGAATAACTTGAAAAATATCAATGATTCTGCATTGCAATTTGTAATCAGCCAAAAGATTACATCAAAGCTATCCTGGCGCACATAGTATGTTCAGCATATATACCAACATACTATAATATAATTGACATATGAATTGCTTACGGTAATTAAAAGTTCTACAAAACAACACACTATACCGAGATTTCCTTTTAATTTCAAAGCCATGGCCCCACATGTTTTCATGTAATCAAATATGATATACATCTATAAAAATTGTTAGTCACCTATTCATCCCTTCCCTAATCGACCATACCAATCCTCTCAAGCATGTCATGCGACCTCAGTTGGCTGCATTCTTTGTTGCCGGCGGAGCAGAAAGCCGCGAATACATTGAACCCTATATCAGCGGAGGGGCGAGGGAGGTTGGAGATTGCCGCGAAACCGTGAATCCATGGTGTTGCACATCATGGGAGGGGCAGGTGAGGTTGTGGAGATCAGTTTGCTCTTAGCGTATGAGAAACAAAGAGATAAGGAGCGGCCACGAATGTGCGCAGCAAGGGGAAGAGATAAGGACATCGATAGGCGATGGGTATGTTTCATATACGACCAAATGACACAAATACAACAGGGGCATGCGAGGGAAACAACGGTCAAACGAATGTCACGTGGAGAAAGAAATGACCAAATAACCCAGAGCACGGAGAGCGCCCCATTTCCTGGGAGCATAGTAACTTCAAAGTTTTTTTTTCTCTTAATGAAAACATAACACTCTTGTAATCTTCCAAAAAATGAAAATAGAGCTATGTTGAGCAAAAGGTACTGACCGAAGGTCCACTTTTAATCTCTCCAAGGTATTGAAGTTAATTTTATTTCGCAGTCTAGGATCTGAAGCCTTTCCTACTTTTCATATGCATAAGCTAGCTTAGAAAATCCACGAGCGTCGGTGTGCCTCGACAACTCCTTTGCTTGCAAGAGGAGACCTTGTTCGTGTCTGATTTGCAGAACCGAATTGGGGTGTTATAGTGGAATTTTACAATACACTAGTTGAATCTTTGTGAAAGTTCAAGTTCTCACTGGACTTGCGTTTGGATCATGCAGAGTGTATTCTTACATATTTGAAGCAGGAGAGATTTCACATGATTTGTTGGCTCAAAGAAATACGGAGTATGACCCGGCCAAGGATCACAAATGTTTCGGCCTGGAGGCACAAAATTGGCGTGCGCCAGCCTATTAGTGTTACTCCACCATGTTTTCCTTTTTTAAAAAAAAATTGAAATTCTTACTCCACCATGTTGAGATCTTCTATTCCGTGTGTTAAGACTTACAAGGAAACCAACAGCTCAGCTCAGCTCACCAGTTTTTTTTATTTCTTTCATGAAAAATAAATGTTCTTATTTCATAGGTTTTTTAATGTTAGTAAGTTTTAAAACAGGGGGAAATCATATTGTGAAAAATGAAAAATTGAACAAGTTCATAGATATTTTGAAAACATTCATCGATACTTAATTACATGAACACGTCTTAAAAATGTTCACCATGTACTATAAAAATATTCACGGTGTATTAAAAAATGTTCACAAGTTACAAAATTGATCAGAAATTTCAAGATGTGTTACTGAATAGTTTAAAAACCTTCATGAGTTTCTAAAGATGTTTGTGCTTTTTTCTAAAAAAACAGTTAAAATTCAGAAGAAACCCATGAAAAAAAGGAAAAGGAAAACCCAGAAAGAAGAAACCGGAAGAATCACTGGAGGAAAAAGGAAATCACAAAAATCACTTTGACAGCAAATGGGGCAGCCCAACATCCGCGCAACCCTGCCCATGGTCATCGTTCCAAGCAGCATGCACCGCATAGGATTCACTGATCTCAGAAGAAGAAGAAAAAAGGATTCACCCACCATGTTACTATATACCGCCGTTCCAAGTTTCCACGGTCAGCATTCCAATCAGTTTTGTGTTTATGGTTCAGTGATCAATGGTTTCAAAAGTGGTCATCAAACGTTGCTGTACTTGAAATTTACAGAGCAAGTTCGCTTGTATTTATTGCTTGCCAAAGATTGCAAGAACGGAAAAAAGTTTCCCAATACCCCTGTGTTCTTCCATCTTTACATTGATGTGATACATCTAAAATTACCTCCCGTTTTATAGAAGAGGCTCAACAAGGCTCACTTTATTTTTTGACTTGTTTGAATCACCACTAGGTTTCTTCAGAATTCCGGTAGGCTGTTGCCCTGGCTGACCCTGTCCCTGTGCACCCTGAAGGAAATGCAAAAGATTGAACATCTAAGGGACTTCCACCAGAAATTCATGGAAGCACGGACAAAACTGTTATTAGGAACAACCATAATCTTCAAAACAAGACGAAAAGGCTACGTCACTGTTAATACAGATTGGACTAAAACCAGCATCTCAGCAAAGATGAGATAGATACAGGAGCATGGGTTTGGGTGAGACTGAATTCTAGACAACATTGGGCAAGTCTATCTTTGTAATTAAGAGAGGGTGAATTGGACTGGCCAGCCTCCACAAATATTTGGGATTTTATTACATCTGGTCCGGCGAGGCAAGAAAGGCAGCATCTGTTCAGAAGATCGCACTAGAGACTAGACCTAAGTAATAGGGTATACACATACTCCCTCCGTCCTAAAATAAGTGACTCAACTTTGTACTAGCCATAGTACAAAGTTAGTACAATGTCGAGTCACTTATTTTGGGACGGAGGGAGTACTTCTTACTAAGCCTCTAACTACAATTTAACTGTTGCAAAACAAGTTAGGCGGTGATTTAAAGATAATCATCACAGCTCATAAACTTTGCCGGAAGCCTATCATTGAAGTTTATGTTAAATGTTAAAACCAGCTAATTCAATAGTTTGGGAATGTCGACGAAAAAGTCAAACTGAAGGAAATTTTCTGTCTAAATCTTGTGAGCAGTTTCCTACTGGACAAACAAACAGCAGCGAAATCAAGATAACAAGATTTGTATTCATATCATACCTACCCTCGCTATCCACAAAATTTTATAGTATCATCTCTAACGATCAAAATTAAGAAAAATCTGTGATAGGATAACATATCATGCAAGATATTCATGTATATTTTGTTCATCAGCTTGCATCATAAATAAAAGTGGAAACTTGCCTTTTGACTCAATAATTTTCGATAAGATGGAACCCTTGCAACTGCTGATGCAGCGACTGCAGCAGCCACTCGGATCCTGTGAGGGAGGGAATTAAGTTGCATACAGTATCACTTGAAGAATGCCAGGAGCAGGTAGCTCCAGGAAGGATGAGACATACCTTTGATGGACATCAACATATTCGTCCGTCTCATCAACTATCTCCTCCTGTAAACTCCAAAAGTCAGGATGGTGAGGAACTCAAAAAGTTTGAATTGAATCAAAACTAAGAACTTAATAAATATGACACTTCCAGTTGAAAGCCCAGACTTATAATAACAAGGCTAGAGCTTTTCAGAAACAATCAAAACAGACATGGCAATCTGATTATAGATCTGGTTAGAGGTGGTTATGTAGTACGTTGACCAATTTATCACCTTAGTGTAGATATACAATTCCAACTTTTTGAGAATAATAAAAAATAACTGGCAATGTGAGTACATATGTGGTTAGAGATTTAGTACGTCATGTGTTGGGTAAATGGACGAAGGAGATGAAGAGTATATGCATAGCAAAATTGATTTCCACAACAAGCTTTTCCATTATCATGGCAACACAATTAATTCCATTATCATGACAGAGAAAGTTAAAAATGTTGGATGGAAGAAGAGAGCATGGTTCATATTTAATTGTGTTACGTGCACAAGTTGGCCATATGCAGAAACGAAATGTATGCTTAACGAGTTCAAACATGATCTCTATTTTTTCGATTTGCCAAAATGATTACACCGAATTATGTAAATTATCGCGAAAACAGTGTATCTCTCTCCCTGAGAAACAAAACTTTGGTTGTTTAATGAACAATGTAGAGTTAAATTGGTGGTTGCAAGACAAAGGCTGAAATTTATGCACCTAATCTCTATTGTTACAGTTTACTCCATATGTACTGTGTTTTTCTGCTCCTAAATTCCAAATGCAGTTGTCCACCATACACCAGAAAAATGGCAACACTACCTTCCAAAGAAGAGCAACTTAGTGTGTTTACATCTTACCTGCAAGAGTTCTTCAAATACGTCTTCCAGTGTGATGATACCAATGACACTACCATTATCCATATCCTCTGATAACTGAGCCAGTGCATTTGACGGTGTATCATTCGGCTGCATCGAGTGGGCTTTATTTCTATTAACCTGCATGTTCTGTTGTCTTTCAGTATCAACAATAATAGTATCCACCCTTTCATCAGTACTGGCTAGCAAGGGTGCAGTCACTTGTGTTGCCCCAGCTGACTCCATACCAGGTTCAGTTTTATCATGAGGTGGTGCATTCTTAGGCTTTGCCTTCACAACAGCAGCCATATGACTACCTCCTTTCTGAAACTCGTTCAGTATATCATACAAAGGCATGTCTGAAGGAACCCTGGGAGAGATTAATATTTACCAATTGTATGTCAGAACAGTTTATACACTAGTACTACTAATAGAGCAACACGGACACTCCATTGTATCACATTTTGAAAGAGATGTTTCCCAATTTATATTTAAATAGAATTGGGTATATACCTTGGAATCCTCCTAATGGAAACAGCACTAACTGGCGTCTCTATTTCAGCACGAACTGTCAGAAGACTTTTGACCTAAATAATATTTAAATGGATCTAAGTTAGTAAAGTACATAAAAAAGATCACCGGGTAATTCTCCATAGCATATTTTTTACCTACCAACAGGAGACCTATAACATTTCTAGGGTTTCCTGAATACACAGGTACACGGCTGTGGCCCCGGGCAAGAATTGTACCAATTGTTTCCCTGTAAATACAAGTAAAGAAGGTTCACTATAAATAACAGTATGTGATAAGCATGTCAAAAGTTGCATAGCGGAGTCCTCTCGATATATACTATTCACAACTGTTTGTTAATTATAATATCTAGGTCAAACTTTAAAATGATTACATCACCGAAGTATAGAACCACAGATAGAGAACTAAGGGAGTTCAATCAGGATCAATGGAATATGCTTGCTAGAAGAACCAACACAATTAGAAGCAGAAAATGGCACCGATGGACAATGCAAACTGCTCATTGCAACCTTTCAACTGAAGGACTTAATACTTCAACGAATCTAAAACTAATATGATTCAACTTTGTTATCTGCCATCAATAAGCATACACACACTGACCAGAATCACAGTCACAAGTGTTGATGCTTGATACACAGTCACAAGTACATGATCAAGTTATTAGTCTTGAGTATGTGCCTTCAGAGCTTGCTTCAGTTGATCAAACTAACTGTGTCTGATTCACCTGATTTTGAAAAGGGGGTTGTTAGCTATGTATAGTATATACATAGCATGTTTACCTAGTTCTAGCGTGTTTGTATCACCCAATTGTATAAAGTGTTCTCTACATATTTACCACACATTTACGTGTATATATTTAGGCATAGAAGCTCATAACAAATACACATGTTCTTAGACCTTGGTAACATGCGTATCATTATTTTCCTAGGATGAGGAATATATTTTGAGCAACGCTAACATAGTACATGTGTTTCTCCATAGAAACTCATGGGTATTTATCTAGCATGAGGAAAGCAAAGAATTGGGAAAAGAATAGCAAAACGCAACAAGAGAACCATTAGATCAATGGTATAAGGAACACCATTCAGATAATGGTCTACCAAATGGAAATGCATTTTTACCAATCCAACTTGGAGTCCACATCTAAAGAGAAAGTTGATTCAATAGGTGTCATAGCTTCTTCGGCGGTCTACATACACAATAAAATGAGTTTTCAGCTGAAGTCAACTATATAAAATTGAGTTCTGATTCACAGTGAAGCACTACACTGTGAAATCGTAACAAAAATATTTGCTTCATAAATGAAACTGAGGCACCTCATCCTGAACTCAATACAAAGAAAGAAGAAGCACACTATTGTTGACTGCTCAAGCCTTTCCATGTATATTAAACTAGTTTTGGATGAGAACCATGCTTCGTAGCTGGAAGCCTCACGTGCAGGCATGATTATTGGGGATATTACACATTGTTAAATGCTAATAGAAGAACACAAAAGAGAATCATAGCTAAGTTTGCTTTCGTCTCCCCCAAAAGCAAAATGATGCAGCTACATCGAGAAACAATAAGTCAACCAACATCTAGTTTTATGCCAACTACCAAGTTTATTTCAATTTCGGTTGCCAATTGTGCCCCTTAATCAGTTTTTTTCAAGTGGTAACAATGAGGTTGCTTGGTTTGGTACAACAAAATTGGCTTCCCAATATTTAGGCAGACCAAAATTTTGGCTACTAAGTGGTATGGCCACCAACTTACCTAGCCCACCTCTGAAAACTTGGCGATTTTCGACAAGTTTTAGAGTTGTCAAATGTAATGTGCCACAATTTTGGTCAGCCAAATTTCTGCCGCCGACCAAGTATGCCAAATATTTGTTAATTTTGCAAAGCTCCAGATATATGGTTTGAAAATCAGTTCAAATTTCAATTACAAAATTGTTGTAGGAATAGCTAATTCGACCAGGGATCCTGCCTGGTCTTACATGGCAAATTGCCAAGGTAAAAGCTACCACACCCCTGGGTAGCCTTGGTCATTTGTCAAGGACCGCTAGCCTATATAACCACAACCACCAGCACCACCCACCCTACCCCTGGATAGCCTTGGTCATTTGTCAAGGACAGCTAGCGTATATAACCACAACCACCACCCACCCCACCCCCACTCCCCGCGAGAATGTAACCATTCAATCTCACTTGAATAGAACTCAAGGGGAAAGGCCTCCAAGGGCTTGAAGATTAGGGATGGATCTGAGGGAGTCACCTCACACGCCTAATCCTCCGGCCTCCAAGGTGACATTGTCAGGAGTTTGAAAACATCAAACGACATGGCCGCAATCAAAAAATAACAGAAGATGAAGGCAGAGGCTAATCCCATAAGACGCATGTTGTTGATGCACATGTGTTGCTCTGATGGTGAATGCACGGCAAGGTTAAGGGTTGTGGTATTTTTTGAATTATGTTAGAGTATGCATATTGTTTATTTTTTACTTTTTCTTAGTTTAGTTGTCATCTGTGTGTATCGCAAGAAGATCAAGTTCAAATGAGTAGCGAGTGGTGTATTCAATGACATGTCTCTAGGTGACGCTATATGATTAGTTGGCTGCTAGCATGTATTGCGCATGGAGCGGATGGTGTATTCAACAAAATTGCTAGTTTGGTATGTAATAATGAGTTGTGCCTATAAAGAGAACAAGTCAAAATTAGGGGGAGATTATGGCAAACAATCTGGCTTGACAATTAGACTTGTCGTGGTCGAGTTGGTGGAGTAGACAAGTTTGGATTTAGATTTTGGAAATAATCCACAGCTTCTGTAGTAGTCTCTGAATTGAAAACATGGTTTCCAATCCAAGTTTGCCTACATGCAATGCATACGTGAGTCAAATTCATGTTTGATTCGTTCTCCTACTTTCCATTTATGAGTAAGTCTACAAGTCGTGTAGTTTGGTTGCTATAAATAAATGGGAAGGTGAAAAACCAAAGGCCTGAAATTTTATAAGAACTATTAATCGTACTTCAGTTTATGCCTATGTGATACCAAAAGGAAACATTGATTTGCCCCATAGTTGATGTGCCTAAGAGGATCTGTCCTCCTTTACATTACTATGTTCTACCTTATTGAACTCCCAGTACAGAATAGTTTTTTGCTGAAAACTGTAGAGGAAACCCTGAGATTTTGTTCTAGTAAAACAAATAAGTACGTACAAATAGCGCTATGCAAGACCGCGGGGGGTAGCACCTCGCTCCTTTCATTCTTGAAGAGAAAGAACCAAGTGCCCAAACTGAGGTTGATATGGCAAAGATTATATAAAGTCGAGCAAATCCTCAAAGTCACCTCAACTATGGGGCAAATCCTCAATTCCCTCGTGAAAAACAGGTTAGGACCAAAACTATGAAGATGATGCACACCTTTTCAGTTAAGTCCAACGCTCCACTTATGATTGTAGTCTCATCATGGGTAAGCTCTCCACCCTTACCAGCCTGCCATGAGAGAGGCAATTAACTGTGAGATAACATGGGTACAAGACTACAAGTGCATACTTCTTATAAGGTTACATGTTAAAAGCATATTACCGCTTTGCTATGGATAGAAACAAGAGCTTTCAATTGAGCTCGCCTGAAAAGCGCAGATTCATGCCCAAGAGCAAAGTCTAGGAGCTGTGGGGCAATATAAAATGTCAACCACTTCAGTCACCAATAGATAAATCATATCAAGGTTAAACTTTGAACAAAAAATTTATACAGATAAGGTTACATACTATTCCATGTCAATTTACTAAAGGGTAAAAAAGATGCTACATTAATCTACAACATTTGTATTTAATTACTGCATGAGCCGTGTACATTAATTGCAATTTTTCAATCACGCATGAACACTACATATTTTTTGTTTGAAATAGAACAAAAGGGTACAAACAGATTGTGGATGGCTCTTAGCTACAGAAACCTTGATACAAGCTAGGCAGCTACAGCAAGGGGCGTTCACTAAATATGCTTGGACACAAAAGTTAACTGCTGACGGTCGTTTTCCCAGGAGAAAATTAGCATCACCAAACTAATGCAAGGCATTAAGAAAGACCTAAATATTATAACATGGATGGACTTCAGAAGATTCATTTTTCTGACTGGAAACAAATGCCTGGAAATTGTAAGATACTCTTTAAAACCACCAATAACACCCTATTTAGTAGAGAACCATAACTAGCAAGCACTACCTTCTATTATTCTTTTGCACCACGCAGACATGGGTCATACCTACAATTTCTAGTAACTAAGTTTTTCTTTCTCGAGACATCCGGCAGCACTAGTTCAAGTCCCAACATACAACACCAAATAAATAAATAGAACTACATGTTCTTTCGTAAGATATTTAAAGTTTGTGTTAGCTCAGCATATAAAAACCAACCAGGTGGCTGAAATGGAATGTAAAGCAACAATGGATATCTATGATAATCTGAATACCAGCTATGAGGGGCAGGGCTAAATAAGAATAGAAACAAGAAATCACTCGCACGCATGTTACCAGAATCACCTAATTAGAAAAGTGTAACCAAAATATCACTTCATGACCTTGTCAATCGACAATGGCACCAAGGAGCAGTGAGCCCAAGCCTCATAATAATAGTCTAATTCATTGGAATTCAAAATCTAGGCCACTGGAGAAGCTTCAAAGGATACTGAGTAATGTGACTTTGATGATTTACCTTCCCAATCGGGTAAGCAATAGGATAGGCAATGACCATGACGATGCGTACAAGCCAGACAAAGCTAGCACCCACTGCCAGCCCATACCTAGTACATATTGCTTGAGGTATAACCTGGTTGTCGAAATGTAATGATCAATCAGATAATCTGTGGGCTGGTAACAGAAATATAAATGCTTGGACATAAGATGCATTACCTCCCCAAAGGCAAGAACAAAAGTCACTGACAATATAATAGCAAGAACAGGATTGAAAATCCTGTCAAGGAATATAGGGAGAGCCTGAAAAGGACGCAAAGAAGTAAGCAGAAGAGCCACTGGTTAAAACAAAATAACACAAAAAAGACACGAGAGAAGAATGGATTCTCTGTCTACAAAGAGCTCAACAATTCAGAAATGAAGTACAGAAAAAACATACACATGTGTGTCACCTAAACTAGGAGAAAGTACCACGCGTAAGGCGGGGAAAAGTTTGCAAATATTGAAGTTGAAGATCCATAGTGCAGAGCTGACCAACTATACCAATGGGGCAAGCAAAGATACTGACATGAATGTTATGAAATCACTTAGCAGTTAGCACTGATACTGACATGAATGCTCGGCAATATGTTAATTTAGCTACGCCTTTTTGGTACATTCTCAAGTAAATCATAGCTACGCCATTTTGGTACATGACTACGTTCCCAAGTAAATCGCTTCAGAGTAAATTTATATTGGATGCAAAGCATGATAATCTAAACTTCATAAGGCACTAACACAGAACTAACATCTCTTTTCTCTTCAAAAGAATGCAAACATTTAAAAGTATAACACATGCAAATACTGACTCCCACATGTAGAATGATCATATACCAGAAATCGTGCAGCGACGTGACTTAATACAGACAAAAGTGAACAAGGTGTTCAAGGTCGATAACTTTTCGAGTGCCCGAGCTAGAAACTTGAAACGAAACTAGCACTGTTTCAGCCATATCCATGGGGTGCAAAGCAATGCGGTAAGTGTCAGACAATGCTACCAAAATTACGTACCTCCATGGCACAAGCATTACACAGCAGCAGAGTGACAAGAAGCTGGTGCTGCTTCTTTACAACCGGAAGGATCGCAGCTGCAGCAAACATAATAGTTCATCAGTAACCTAAACAGGAACAGCAACAGAAAATGCCAATCGGGTAAAGGAGATGAGCCGTATTTATTTGCATCAGTCGAACATTCAATAAATGGTGCTGAAAGATGCAGCACTTAGCTAGTAACAGTAAATAAGCGGCATCATTGTTGCCATTAGAAATAACTTTTGTAGAACCTGACACATGAACTCTGAGATGTCCAGATAGAGATGTGTAATGTAATATAATTACCTAAGACGACTGATGTTTTGTCCTAATGTGAGACTGAGGAATGGAAATTATGGAACAGATAACGGGAAGAGGAGGGCGTCTGGTCCAACTATCCAGCCGTAGGCCCCACCCACGATATTTTCCGCCGCCGGGGGAATGGACACGGGCAGCTGACTCCTATCTAATCCAATCCACACCTCCCCGCACGCCGGCACGGGCCCGCCCCTCTCCGGCGGCGACCGGCCCAGCCCTTGTTCCGACGGAGCGGAGGAGGCGGGTGTTTGGGGATCTTACCGGCTTGAGCCTTCTCGGCGTCGGTGCCGCTGCGCATGAGGATCTCCAGATCCACGGGGCCGAGCGACATGAGGCCCAGGGTGAGCCCCGACATGATCCCGGCCAGCAGCACCAGGAGGGCGGAGAAGGCCGCGTACGCCCACCATAACGCCGTCCCGAACTCCGTGTCCTCCCCCCGCACCGCCGCCATCATCAGCGCCGCGCTCGGCGCGGGCCGCGCCGCCGCCCCCACCACCATCCGCACCGCCACCGCCGCCAGGCTCGCGGCCCTCGCCCTCCCGGCGGACGACATCCGGGCCTACGGCCTCTGCTCTCAATGTGGGCGAGAGAGAAGAACACGAATGCAGCCCTGCTGTCCTGCTCGGTCCAACCACCACCACAAGTCTTTTACTGGTGCAGCTATCAAACTTGCCTGCCGTGATGGGGAAATGGTGCGCCCCACAACTCGTCTCCGAATAAAACTTTTTTTTTCAACTTCTTTTCAAATGAAGCGCTCTGACTTTTTTACAACTAAATAAAGTTGTCATCTCAAAATAAAAAACAAACAAAATAATAAACTAAAACTTGCTATCTAAAAAAATGTTCATGCTTGACAACTACAGTTGTCATCCTCGTGTCACTAAGGGGCTGTTTGGATGGAGGCCTATCAGGCAGCTCCTTTGTCGGGCACATATCTCAGCCTCAGGCCTCCAAAATCGGACGCCTGAGATTCATGCCTCACTCAGCCTGGTTTCTGTGAAAGAGAACCAAATAGCTCCTAAATTGCCATCATAAACGACATATGTTCGTGCCACACGTGTGGTATTTATCAGGGTCTTTCTTTTTTTAGAACCACCATCTCGACACTTTATTCAATAATAAGATGGTTTACATTAGATTGCACAACAGCAATCAAAAAATCAGGGCATGCATCAAATGCGGTTACACACGAGGAAGAAACTAAACCCTTCTTTGCACACCATTGAGCAGCCTCATTGGGTTCCTTTCGAGCATGTCGGATGCTAAAACCCTGGAAGTGTGAGAGATATGATCTGATCTCTCTGAATACTGAACTCCCCACCGTACAATCCTCATATTCCCATTCCTCTCTAATAGCTTGATTGTCTATTTCAATGGTCACATACTGCCAGTTCTTCTTCATTGCTAGGTAGACCACCTCCACACAGCTAGTAGCTCAGCAGAGTATGGATTCGTCAGTCCAATGAGCTTTACCATTCTCGCCGCCATGAAACTTCCCACATGATCCTGGGCTATCACACCTGCTGCTACATGTCCACCATTGTTGTCTACCGCTACGCATGTATTAAGCTTGAGCCAACCATCGATTGGTACTACCCACCGGGCCCTCCGCCTTGTTTGAGAAGAGCATCTAAATAAACCAGACAGCCTCTCCGGCATTGGGGCCAATTGACCGTTTGCCCCACTTTTACTGTACCCTAGGCCCATATGCCCCTGTCTTATAACGCAATTGATAACATGGCTCATGCATCTTTGTTTGTACAAAATGACACAAACTTATATTGACGGTGTATCTTTACCATATGATAGAAATGAGAGGTGAAAAAAAATACCTCTTATACAAAAAAGTATGTTAGTGGCTCATGCAATCGTATGAATATGTTTTTTTAAATTACAAAAACTAGCATGCCCAGAAAATCCTAAAACAATTACATAAAAAAAAGTATAATCATAGTAGTCTATTGTTCAAATTTCAGCCAGTTATGGACAACGAGCAGAGAGAAATCAAGATTTCAAATTTATGTTCATTTTGTTTAAATTTTGGGCAAAAAATTTGAACTACCCAGAAAAATCTCACAAATTACAGAAAACCAAGTATATTTGTAGTAGTGTACTATTCAAATTTCAGCCAATTCTAAACAAGTATCAAAGAGAAAACGAGATTGTAAATTTTTGTCCAAATTTGTTTAAATTTTGAGTGAAAATTTGAACTGCCCAGAAAAATCGAAACAAAATACAAAAAAAACTAGTATATTCATAGTGGTGTGCTTTTCAAATTTTAGTCAATTCGAAGAAGCTATAGTAGAGAAAATTGCGTATATACTTAATATCCAACAAATTTGGCACATTAGCCATACACAAATAGATGAAGTTTCCCATTGCATAGTTCCAATTTTCATTCTACATCACAAAAGAGAGCCACACATCACAAAGAAAATTTCAAGTCCCAACACATCACAAACATATCATAAAATAGAGCAAATCTCAAGTTCACATGCAAAAGCTTCCTCTTGTTCTTCCTTAGGGTTATCCTTTTGAGAGTTGATGTGGTTGTTCTCTTGGGAGTCATTTGCCTTAGAGAGGTCGTGTGCATCGAAGATTGACCATCTCCGCCAGCCATTGCCAAAGCAAGCAGTTGTGATTTATAAGTTCACCTTTAGGTGAGAATGCAAATAGTAAAATAAATGTACTAATGAAAATAAGCAAGTTATCAATTCACCTTCTCATGACTGGCCTAGAATTGTTTTATAAGCTTGGGGGAATGGTGATGAACATTATATTGGGAGTTATTGGGGTGATAGTTGTAGGGGCATCATTTGTTTGACCATCACATACATCCACCAAGGTAGCGTTCACCTTATTTCTACTCCTTGGCACATATCAAGCCCTAATTCGTCCAAATCAGGGAAATAACCATCCCCATGGGGCATCACGTGTAGAGATGTAGAGCAAGGGTAGGGGTAACTCACCTAGATGGCCTCTCTTTCCCTGGATCCGGGAGGCTACAATTAGTCGTTATCGCGGACACGGCCAGATGGGTTCAAGGAGCTCTGGACGTGGACATGTTGGGGGGAGCTCTAGCGATGGAAGGGGGTGATGGGTCGGCAACTTGGTGGGGGAGCATCGGAGTTAGAGGAGGCCAACGGCCGGTGGCTCAAAGGAGGAGGCCGGCAGGCCGACACCTGGGCGGAGGATCTCCGACGGCGGAGAAGGACGGTGGGTCTGCGCTTGTGCGGAGGAGGACGACTGGCTGGCAGTTAGATGGTGGTGCTCCTACGATGGAAGTGGTGGGACCGAACGGAAAGGAAAGATATCGTTCTGGATGCATGCTTTTTGGTGATTGTCTAGGGGCAATTCTAACATTTCCCATCTCCAATTGCAGTTGTTAACTAAAGATGTATGTTTATTTTTAATGTGTGGCATTTTGTCTAGAGGCATGGTGAAGATGGATCATTTATCAACTTCATTGTAAGATGAGGCATATAGGCCCGTGCAGAGCAAAGGTGGGGCAAATGATCACCTCGTAATAATATCAACAACCTCTCTGGTATCGACGGCCCCCCTGTGTCACAAATGATTGATCTGCTTCTGGGCCAGCAGGTGGCAATAAAAAATACCGGAGCCAAAAAGTACCAGAGAGGGCCCACTAGGAAACTGCATGGATAGGTAGCGCGGCCACCCCCTGGTCGCGCCATGTGTTCGTGTGGGGCCCTTGGGCACCGCTTTGACCTGATTCCAACACTATAAATTCACATCCACCCAAAAAAAAATCATAGAAAATTTTCATTGCATTTTCTGGCGTCGAAGAGAGCGATTCGTCGTCGTCATCACCAACACTTCTCCATCAACAATTTCATGATGCTCACAACCATGTGTGAGTAATCCCCTTGTAGGCATGCTAGAGATAGATGGGATTGGATGAGATTTCATATGTAATCGTTGTCATTTTGTTTGGGCTTGATCCCTACTTTCCACTATGTTCTGAGATTGATATTGCTATGACTTTGCTATGCTTAATGCTTGTCACTAGGACCCGAGTGACATGATTTCAGATCTGAACCTATTATATTTTCATGAATATATTTGTGTTTCTTGATTTTACTTGCTAGTTGTATGCACCTATTATTGTTCTGAACCCTAGACCCCAAGGTGACAATTACTGGGATACTCTACAGGGATGATTGTAATTTGAGAAGTTCATGTATTCATTATGTGTTAATGCTTTGCTCCAGTTCTCTATTAAAAAGGGTTCCTTAATTACCATTAGTTTCCATTAGGACCTTGCTGCCATGGGAGGGTAGAAAAAAGATGTTATGCAATTTTTTATCGCAAGAACATATGACTATATACAGAATACATGCCTACATATGATTGATGAATTGGAGCTAGTTTTGTATCGCTCTAAATTTTGACCATTGCATATTAAATCTCATCTGAACACCCCATCACTACTCCATGCCTACACTTTCTACTACTGTCACCATTTCAATTACTACTGCTCTACTTGCTACAAACTTGTTACTATTATTGCTACTGTTACTTTATCACTACTACTACCATATTATTTTGCTACTAATAAATTACTGCAAGAAAGTTTCTCTCATGTGTGGTTGAATTGACAACTCAACCGCCAAGGCTTATAAATATTCTTTGGCTTCCATATGTCAACTCAATAAATTTGGGTGAAATACTACCCTCTAAGACAGTTGCGATCATCTATACTTGCGGGTCATTAGTCACCAACCCTATCTTCCTCCCCCTGGCCCTCCTTATTTTCTACATCCTCCGCTCGTCCACATTAGCCAAGTCTGCACCTTGACATGGTCCCTCTCAGCCGCAATGGGGATGATCATCTACCAATTACAACTGCCAGAATCGTCGGCTAGTGCGCAGCAAGGTGGGAGCTCCACATTTGGCAGGGGCGGTACATCTCAAGCGGTTGGCTGTTGTGGGCAAGAAGAAACAAGTCTTGTCGCCACTAGGGAAGAAATGCACCTCTATTACACCCTCCCACAATCTACGTCAGCGCTGCTTCTCCTCACAAAGAAGGGACGATATACAGTAGGGAACACGTGGCCAGGTTGAACGGTTGCATATAGGAGATGCCTCTTCGGGGCCTCCTCGTCACATCATCAGGCAAGATCGCAAGATGTCACAGCCAGTGTTGCCGATGAGACGTGATTGTTTGCTTATTGTGCTTACCATGTCTCATGTTTTTTTGCCTCCACTTTATTTCCATTGGTCATAAATCACCGGTTCGCCACATCAATGCACCAACCTCTGGTGCGCTCATTCCTTTTTTTGTCACTAGAATTTTTTGGGTTAAATTGGTAATCAACAAGGAAACTGCAATGTTTTGTATTTTTATTTGAGGTAAGGCTAATTGTCATCAACATATCCTCAGGTATTTTGTTTGTGTCTGGTTCAATGTTCAGGCATGGTGCAAATTTGACTCTTACAACCAAGTAAGTGGGCTCCTTGGATGGTCAATAAGAGAATGATGCCAATTAGTCTGGAAACGGTGCTATCGTGCAAATCCTAGAAGGTGTTCGC